GTTGCTTTTGGAGCAAAACTAGTCAGTTCACTCCTTTCCCCACACTCCTGCTTTTACTGGACAGTATATCCAGGAGAGTTCCACTAATGCTAACATGATGATACTTAGTTGCCACTCATACCAAATACATCCATTATGAACCTTTCACATATCTGTTTTCAGCTTTCCTCTTCAGAGCTAAAGTGATTGACCTCTCTTTGATCCGCATGCTTTAAGTTGCAGATTTAAAAAAACCGCACCCTTTTGTTCAGCTTTGATCTTTCCCTTCACTCTATCTGAGAAACACCAGCCAGATTTTTCATCTTGATGTACAGAATCATCAGTGTACACCACAGTGCCATCTAGTCCATCTAGCATTTTCATTTATAAGTTGTTGTACCTCCAATTCTGCTACTGTGTGTACCCTTGTTGACTCATTCCTGCCCCTAATGTACTGCTCAACTGAAGCCGCCAGGCTGATGGTATCTTCTGCTGTTGCTCAGTTACTGCTCTTACATTAAACCATCCTTTTCTGTGTGAGGTCTTGCAGCTCATTCTACATCTATTATAAATTTTTAATGTCTTTAATTTTCTTCCCTGAGAAGTTCTAGGTCTCCCTTTATTTCTTGTGCCCTCTGGGTTCCAGTGTAAGGATATTCTGTTGTAGTTTGTTTTCTCAGTGTATGTCCTATCTAACGCAAATATCTTTTCACAAACTCTTGATTCATTGGAAATCGTTTTCTCTCAAAGCCAACATTTTAGAGACAATTTTTTTAAAACTTGCACTATAGACTTTATCTTCTTCTTTTTCTTCTTTCGTTCGCATGAAATAAATTGTCTATATCTGCAAAGCTGTCTCTAGTATGAATTTCACTGTCTTTTGTAATTCACTAAGCGGCCCGTAAAGTTTGACTTCCACAAGTGTCTCTTTTGGCCAAAGGTTTTGTCTGAAAGCGTTGAATCTGGGACAGTCTTGAAGGATGTGATCTGTTGTTTCAGGTGCCAGTCCACAAGTACACATGGCTGATTGGCCAATCTTAAATTTGTTGTACATGTGGGAGCGAAGTCGATTGTGCCCTGTTCTAAGGCGAAGGATAATGACTTGCTCTGGTCTGTCCATAATATGGTAATCATCTTGTGCCAGTTTCGGTGGCATTCTGATTGATTTGATCATTCTCTTCTTCTGTTGATAAGAGACTGGTATGTCAGGTTGTTCTTCAGTTGCACCTTCCTTAGCTAGTTTATCAGCTTTTTTCGTTTCCGGGAACTCCACAGTGGGAAGGTATCCACTGCATTACTAATTTACAGCGGTTGCCTAGTTCGGATAATAGTGTCTGTATGCTTGGTAATTTTCCAGACTGGAGTGACTGAAGTACTGCTTTTGCATCTGTCAGGAATACCACTGGTTGTGAAAAATACCCTATATTTAGTAGTTTCTCTACCGCAATCTTGATGGCTTGAACTTCTGCATCATAGTTGTGACAGTGCTTTCCCGTTGGTAATTTGGCTGTATCCCTGGTATTATTAGGATACTCAATGTACACTCCTGCACCTCCGTTTCTGACTGCGCTTTCTGCTGACCCATCTGTGTAAACACGGACCCAAAGGTTCTTCGGGTATTCATCATCAAGTAGACTGAGGGTGGCTGTTTTGCGCTGCACACTGTTTTGTTCTTCCTTGTCAAATACCCCTTTCACTTCAGTCTTGATGTGTATTGGAAACTTATACTCCTCTCTCCAGGGGGTCCGTTCTGGGACAGCATTTAAGGATCTATCAGTTGCAGGTAAATCAGTGGTTTGTCTGCCGAGCCGTTTGGCCTGGTGGATAAAACTACTTCTCTTTAGTCGTCCCAAAGCTAAATTTTTGAATCTTTCATTCATAGGGTGACTGGGCATACTAAGAAACTTTTCTGCTTGTAAAAGCATCTTGGTGTCTCTGCGTTCACTCAGTGCTTGGGTCATCCCCATTTTCTCCATCACAGCTATAGGTGTTGATTTCATACTGCCTGTGGTAACTCTGAGTGCTTGATTTTGCACTTTATCTAATTCTTGCAATGTGGTTTTTGATGCCGAACTCCATGCTGTTGATCCGTATTCAAGATGTGGTCGAACACTTTGTTGGTAAACTTTCCTAAGTATTTTTCCGCTAGCACCCCATGTGGTTCCACTTAGTTTTCTCAGAATGGCTACCCTCCTTCTGGCTTTGGTTGCTGCCTTGTTGATGTGTTTTCTCCATGTTAATCTATCATCAAACGTTACGCCGAGGTATGTGGGCTCCTTATCCTCTCTCAGGGGTACTCCATTTATGTGCATGACACCTGATTTTTGTTTAGGAGAAAGGGTAAAGAGGGTGGTGCTGCATTTGCCTATATTGATGCTGACACACCATTTGTCGGCCCAATCAGTCATTGCATCTATGGCTCTTTGTAGCAGTCTGGTGGCCACTGTCGCATTTTCATTTGTACACCAGAGTACCAAGTCATCAGCATACATTGCAGCTTTAATTCCATGGGGTAGTTCAGAAAGCAGGTCGTTGATATAGACTATAGACTTTATGAAACAATACAATATAATTCTAGCAAGTATGTTAGGATATTTGCCGGTGCTACGAAGTTCGCGGACTGCACTGAGATTTGTCAGATACATTGTATAAACCTAAACCTAAATTCTAGTGTAGTGACTAGATGCTTGCCTGCCAGTCCAAACATCTTGGGTTTGAATCTTCGTCCAGTGGATTTGAAAATAAAATTTACTTTGGCCCCAGTTCCACCCAGCGTAAAATGGGTACCAGGAAATGTCCTGGTAGTGGAGACATCTGGCATGATGCTGACCACACCAGCCATCCATCAGTCTCTATAAACAAGAGTCCAGCAGTATTTGCCCAATGCCCCAGGGATGTAAACACTGTCCTTTACTTCACCATGTCTTTCATCTTCTTCTGCGTTCATCCGAAGATGTAATTGTGTTACAGCATGGTGGCTATATTTGTGCCTTCAATCAATACATCCTACTTATGCAGTCATTTGTTGACCAGGTTAGCCTTTGATAAAGTAAAGTAAGTAAAGTTCCCTTTTCACGCCTATGATCGTATTGGGCATATGGGAAGAGTGCCCATATTTTTACAGACTGTCGGCACTAGGTGGGTAATGTGGTCAGCCGGTCATCTTTACTTTCCCAGGACATCCACCCTGGCACCATTTTAGGCTGGATCTAACTACGACGCCCCATACCATGATAAAAATCCATGTAGCGAGCAGTTGGTTTCGATCGCAGTACGTTGGAATTACGAGTCGGACTCTCAACGCCTAAGCCACGGACGCCGCAGGTTAGCTTTTGATGAGGTACTCTAAATTACTGTCCAAACGCTGCACTCACAAAATGAAAAATAATACTGAAAAGAAGAGGCTAGATTCCGGGAGCTATCATAACTAGCTATTCTATAGGTGTCATTTCACAGGGCATTAACAGTATTATTTTGCACAGCTGCTGCCGCTGCTACAAAGGCTGAGGTGTGATATTGGGTTTTGTTCTGTCCTAATCTGAAAGTCAGATCTCTGTTTATTGATGTGAGCCTGTATAAGTGTGCATATGGAGCTTGTAAACCTTGACTATGACTATATACTAAATCTGTTTGAGTAATAACATAAGGTCAGGTGGAAGATGGTACAGCATTTTGTAATTGAGGTTTTGAACAACGGATCAACATCATGGCACATGGGTGTAATTCATAAGTGCTCCGTTCTTCTAACTTAAGTATGAGTCCAAAGAAGCTCAGCACAGTGCACAGGTTCTGTAGCACTAGCGAGGCATTTTGTAATAACATATTGACATCACATATGTTTCTATCTCTGTGTGGGTTTTGGGATCCTACTGAGATTTTGAAGAGGGAAAAAAAAACAGATCCAGTTTCCAAACATGCATGTCATAAAAACTAGGAGTGTGCTGCAATCTTATGTGCTGGGTAGAAAGGTGCAGATATCAAAGCCTAACTGTAAACCACAAAATAAGGTGCCAACTGTCTTTTTTACGGGTGAAAGCAGAAGAAAAAACAAAGAAAAGAATATATTTCAATTATATTTAACTATTTAATATCAAGCAGGTGTCCTTCTTCAGTGTTCTGAGCCCTTGAGGTTTATTGCTGCAGATATCACCTGCCTCCACTCATCTCTCTGGTTGGCCTTCTCTTTCCAGTTGGTGAGATTAAGTGTTTGCAGGTCTAACTGGACAGTATCACTCCATAGTTTTCTTAATCTGCCTCGTGGTCTTTGACCATTTAGCCCCCTTGTGTATACAGTTTTTACCTCTCTGTCATTTGACATTCTCTCAATATGCTCAAGCCATTTCAGTCTAATACAGTGTTTCCCAAACTGTTCTTTATCGTGGCCCCTATTTTCAATCACATTTTTTTTCCACGGCGCCCTAATCCAAGTAAAAACATGGCTATTCGAAAGTAAGAGATAAAAACAAATAAAACATGTGCACCTTCGCAATTTTTTTCTTTATTAACAATTAATGTGATGAATGAGTCTGTAAATCACTGCACATTTTCTCAAATCATGGAATCAAACTGGACATGGCCACACTCATTTCCCTTTCCACGTTAATTTTTGCTCTATACTTTCCTTTTATAACAGCGACCGATGAAAACTTAGCTTCACACAAATACAATATCATAAATGGAATTAAAATCTGCTGAGCCTTATCACTTAGAAGGAGATACTGAATAAATAAAAAAAGTTTTTTTTTTAAAACGCTAATTACACATTGAGTATATGATGTTGGACTCATAATTGTATAGACTGCTTGGCACTCAATCGGTGATGTGGTTCACATCGTACTGGCTGCCTTTACATATTTTAAGTTTGGTGGAGCTGGGAGCCAAGGTTACTATTTGTTTTTTTTTTAAATTTGACCCTATGTGAATTCAAACCCATGACCTTCAGACCAGCAGACGAGTGTCTAGCTACTATGCTACTGCAGCTCCCTACATACAAAACGACAAAACAAATATAAGTTTCTTACATCACTGCTGCGACCGCTGTTTTCTCTCATTTTTTCCACTTCTCTGACTTTGTGCTCACTTATTGTGTCAGTGTCAGCAACAACATAATACCGAGGGCTGTAGTGGTCACCCAGAACTTTTACCAGCTTCAAAATTTCACTCGTATGACCACCTGTAAAAAAAAGTTTACCAAAAAAAAATGCATTTTTGACTCAACATGACGCTAAAAAAAAATGGAAACAATATTTAAAATGTGCTACCACAACTATTCCAAAGTTGAGTTGAGCTGAGTCAAGAATTGACATCACAGCACTTGGGGCATTCACATGCATTCTCTGTCCTCATTTTAGGAAGCAAGCACAGAGTTCCAATACTGATGGTACAGGTAACAATCTGGTGATATGTAAGATTCTTCGGACTCAGGCTTGAGTTAGAAGTAGAAAAGAGCATTTCTGGGTTACTACCCTTGTGCCATGATGTTGATGTTTTTTTTAAACTGTTGTTCTTTCAAAATGTTCTGAAGCTTTGTTGTTTAGGTAATTATCCAATACGCCACCATCATGACTGTTCTCTCTGTATACTGTAACTATTTAAACAAGATTATCCGAACTGCTGCACACGACCCGAAAAACCATACTAAAAGTAAGCAGAACAAAACAAAGGATATATTTCCAATCCTTGAGTTTGGCATTCAGTGTTAGCCTCATATTTTTATAGAACAAATGGCAATAGGGGGGAATGAGATCAATAAAATGATGACCGCTTTTCTTTCCATAACATTTTCCTGGTGCCTTTTTTTTGCCGGGGTCTATCTGGGACCCAGGTAAACTATTACAATTTATCTTAACAGAGATGTGAATATGTAAACACTGTGCTGACATGCAAGCAAGGTGGTTAACAGATTACTAAGGAAACTTCGATAAACATTTTAATCACTCCATATGTTATTTTTGTTCCTGTCCTTTAAAATGCACATTATACACATTTATACCATTTTCACCTAATCTTAGTAATAATCATACCAATATTTACTCTATCATTAGTAATTTTGCGTCCGTGGCTAAGGCGTTGCAAGTCCGACTCGTAAGCCAGCATACCGCGATCGAAACCCACTGCAGGCTGCGCAGATTTGTATCGTGGTATGGGACATCGCAGGTCGACCCAGCCTAAAATGGGTACCAGGATGGGCTGTCCTGGGAAAGTAAAGACAGCCAGCGTAATGCTGACCACATTACCCACAGAGTGCTGATGGTCTGTAAAAATATGGGACGCTCTGCCCATATGCCCGATGCGCCGAAAGGCGTGAAAAGGGATCTTTACTTTTTTTTTACATTAGTAATTTAGTCAGTTTTTAATCTGCAGTATAAGCATTAATGAGCCAGGTGTTGCAGACACTAGGACGGTTTTAAAGAATTAATCATACTTCCTCTTCTTTTTCTTCATTTTTACCGGCTGTAATACAATCATCAGTAATCTGGTCAGTTTTTCTTTGCCATGTTGTCATTTATGAGCTTTAAACATCAGGTTTTTCAGACATCAGGGCAGTTTGGTGACCTTAATCATGCTTCTCGATGAAGAGATGTGTGATCTTCTTCTTCTTCTTCGCGTTCACCAGCTGTACACTCTGACGGAAAGTTCTGGTTGCTCGTCCACTACTGAACTGCAGTCCTGCTCCAGAACCTGAGTGTTGCATGTGCATCAGTTTTACAGATCCCATTCTCTTGAATACAGACTGTTGGTTCCTTGCCTCTCCGGCAGATTCACTCCGACTTCAAAGAAAGCTCCCCAATTAGTCGACTCTTACGACATGCTTTTGGGGAGGCAGTGGGTCTATTCTTGTTTTTTCCACAATGGGGCCCCGGAACCCACACGGGGGAGATGTGTGATGTATGTTGCTCTCTTCAGGGTTACAGATCTTTAGTGACAAATTTCTGTGCATGTGTGTGTGCTCACACACACACACACACTATAGCCCAGAATCATAACCATAATTACCTGCTATTTCTGGTTCTAAATTTTGCTTTTTTTTATGCTGGTATTTTTTCTTTTTCACATCATTAGTGCTTTATTCATCCCTTTAGACAGCATAATGGCGGTTAGAGGATCTATTTATTTGCTCAAACGAATATGTTCAAGATAAAAGGAGGAGGATATCACTGCCAGACATGGACAGTCCCAGAAAAACATAAATGCAAAATTACAACATGTGAAATGAGATGATAAGAAATGCAGCAGGAAAAACAAGAAGAGACACATTCACCAGAACTAAGAATGAATAGTAGGCACAGTACCGTGAATAATTTTAGAGAACATCAAAGAATCAAATGGTTTGGTCATTTGGTCAGAATGGAACAAAATTAGCCAGCAGCTAGAGCGTACTACATGAAAACAGCAGGCTACTAGGCAAGAGGTTAATAAAGAAAGAGGAGGAAGTAAAAGTGACACTACGGAAAACACAATATGACATTAACACAAGCTAAACAACTAGCAAAATACAGGAAACTATCTTTAACTCGTCTCTGCCATGCTTTACAGCATAAGCACTAGGACAAAATAAGAAGAAGAAGATAGCATGATGGCGATTGCTTTACTGCGGAGGACATTTTCCTCTGTATGACCTGAAAGCTTTACTGTTTCACTTGTATTTAGAAGCATTTTGCTTGGTCCCTTGCACCGTGTTCCACATAAACAATCTTTATATTTCAGTTACCTATCCCAATGCATCTACCAGTTGTGGAAGTTGTACTGTCTTTCTGATACAGCCCATACTGCTCAATTGTAACATTCCAGGTGCCAATGCTTAAGATTTTCCTAGAAGATAAGTTGGTTATTTTGGCTCCTCTAAGCTGCTTTGTACCTTTTACATCATTCCTTTTGTAGAGCTGAACTCATTTCATCAAAATGAAGATGTTTTTGGTTGGTTATTTTCTTATCTCTACACTTGTTCAGGATTAACTGAATTTCTTCTTCTTCTTCATTCACCGGCTGTGAATTCTGGCAGAAGGTCCCAGTTAGTCGTCCGCTTAGACTTTTGGCTTTTACCTGGACCTGAGTTTTGCGTGTACAACCGTTTTGCTGTTCCCTGCCTCGCGGGCAGATGTACTCCGACTTTGAGGGAAGACGTCAGGCCTAGTTCTAGGATGACTGTGGCCATTGTTTTGTGTGAGTCGAGACGTTGCCTGATTTGTGTGGTGTCCTCTTTGTCACCTTCTCCGCAGGTGTTGCCCCCGGAATACCCCTTTGGGGCAGCCCCTTGTGGAACGGTTAGCCCTCAAGGGAAGGCAGGGGCAGATCATGGGCATTCCCCACCATCCAAGGAGGCTTCCATGTATGCAGAGCAGGCACATGGCGCTCTGCTTCTGGGCTCACCCAAGGAATCGTCATGTCCTGCACATGCCTGCTTAACCTCACAATCGTATTAGGCCTCGCGCTCGACAAGGGCTGTGCGCTCCGGAAATCAGCGGGGAGCAGCCCGCGGGTTCTGGACTTTTGTGACCACACGAATAGGTACATTCTTTTTCTTCGCACGTTAGATATCTTTGACGAGTCGTTAGCAGGACAGAATTTAACATCATGTGTCGGGCATATCGTTATCTGTTTGGTCCCAACACTCGGGCGAGTGGGGTCTTTGGGTGTGGACATTTGGACTTTTCCCCATTCAATATGATTTGTGATGGTCAGATTTTGAGCTTACTCGTGTGCCGTAGGATCTAGTTTTAAGCTTAGCCAGCCAATGGGCTGTTACTATTGTGGTGTACCTCAGCGCGGGGACGACGACACTGAGGGTTAACAGAGGATGTACATGGGTAGAATCATGCTGCGAGATGCCACCCACAGGAGATGTTACTCGTCTGTGCTGCGGGTAAATCTCTGGGTCAAGGGTTGAGTCTCAGCAGGACAATGTTCTCTTCACTCCGCAATCTTTTAACCAAGAGTTGTAATTTTAGTTATACATTTGGCAAGCACTTTACTCATGTTCCTAATAAGTTTTGATAACCCTTTTCACCCATGCGTTTGGGGGCAGGCTGATGAGAGCCACAAGGACACATCACCTCTGGGGGCCGCCAAACTCCGAGATCCCCTGGCAGCTCTGTTAATGCTCATTTGAGACATTATCCGAGGACGTGCTGCAGGGGTCTTGCGTGAGGTTCCGTAAAACCAGAACAGTGAAGGACTAGCGCCCGAGTGACGTACATAGTATCTCCTTAAACACATCATGTTGGACTTAACTTTCCCTCACGCCTGTGACATAAATCAGCGCGCCACACTGGATTTCAATTTAGCTGCCTACAAGAAGGTATAGCCAAATCCAAGCCAACCCCACTTGACTGCCACTTATGACATGCATTGGAGGTTTCCAGTGTTAGTATTCTATTCTTTGCTGTCTTGTCTAGCAGATGCATAGTAACATTATAATGTAGGCGATGAATGAAAGACTGGTGATTTATATTATATACATTGTATGTTTTTTTATTAATTCAACTTTCGCTGCTTATCTTATTGAAACTATATCACAAATAAAATAAGTGATAAGGGTGTTAAATTAATACTTTTTATTATTTAAAAAAATCATTAATTTATTAAATTAAAATTGTGGGCTATCCTCCGAATAACGGCCACATATTATGGCGGCCAAAAACACACCCCGACAGGGCCTCAATCACATGTAAATTGCGGACTTCCTCCGATGAACACATTGCGGCAAAATTAGGATTACTGTCCTTTGACAATTTCGAGAAACGCAACATTACACATGACATAGTGACATGGCGGGGAGACCACACGCTCCGACGCAGGTTAGCAATAGTGTTCTTCCGATTAAACTCAACTACATGGCTGGGACTCAGGAGCAGCAGCTACCGCATCTTCTGCAACTTCCTTCAATTTATTTGCTTGTGAGTCCCAGCCATCTAGTTTAGCCCCCTATCGCGCCGCTACCCGCGCCGAGGGAGATACTCTTGGCGGTAAAAACTGCGTTACTAATGTATTACCGATCATATTTAGCCAAGTTTAAATAGCGCCACAGCCACAAAGAGCAGATTTTCAGGCACAATTTGCAATATCTGTGCCACTATTTTCTTATATTAAGGCCTCAATTATCGTTAAGTGGTCGATTTTGTAATTTTTGATTTTTCCTTTTTTTCGATCCTCATTATTTTTAAGCTCAAGTTTTTGAATGTTTACAACATACGACCTAATGAGGCCCAGTCAGGGTGTGTTTTTGGACGACATAATATGTGGCCGTTATTCGGAAGATAGCCAAATTGTGCACTCAACTGCATTCATTTCATTATTATTACTATTATTAGTATTACCTGATCCGACAACAATAAGAACTGATGCAGGTTCCGTCCTTTTATCTCGTATACGCGTCTGCTGCTTCTTTGTTCTCACCATTATAATAATGAATAAAAATATCAAAGTTACCACAACACATAACAACAGCCAGCCCATAATGTTTCTACAACGGCTACACTTAAACAAACAATAAAACAAACTGTAAGGCACACAGAACGATTCACTTTTTTTCTGACGTTGCTTTGTTTACAAGGGCATTCACTCTGCTTTGAAATCTCCTCAAACATTACCGCCCTTACTTTGCCTGTTTGGCTTTCATCTTCTTAAACTTTGTCCTCATTATTCTAATTAAAATACAGCAGGTTTATAACGATAATGCGCATATTTAAATGCAATATAATTAAAATAAAAAATAAATATATATTTTTTTAATAACTCACTTAACCGTAGGAATTTTGTCCTATATTAAAATTGGATTTCCCTAATAAACCGACTAGGAAATAGTATCTGGACGGCGGAGGATTGATTCATCATACATGGATTGAGAATTATAGAATGTATTTTCTAACGAGGTTAGTGCTTGTTCATTTTGTTGACTTATCGGGTATTATAACACGATTTTATAATGTATGTGTGGTTATTTTGTTGCGTGTATTGTGTAGGATGTCAGTATTCACACCTGTGCACTACTACTTTCAGCCAGGGAATGATTCATGGGAGAGTAGGGCGGGTGCCGGGCACGATGGGGTTATGTTATCTGATCGTTTCTTTCAGTTGTATTTCTTTCTGTCTCACAAAACGGCTATGATTTATACCTGCATGTGGCACCGTTTATATTTTCTACCTCAGGGTGGTATGAAGTGGCAATATAGTTACACCTAGAGTCAGCCTTCTAAGACTCGTTTCGAGTTAACGTAGTGTTAATTTTTTTTTTTTTTAGCCTAGTAGTGTAATAAGTTCCTATCCGACAAACTACAAACGTTGTAAAGCTCTTAACATTGCTTGCTAGGACCCACCCATATCCGTATTACTATTACATTTACAAGCATTCCTTCTGAACATAACGCTTGACTTCTGTAAACCTTTTAAATTAGGCAGCCTAGTTAGATCTGTTATTTTATGTAAATTAGTTAGTACTGAAACATACGTAATTAATTATATTGACTTTCTTTCAGTGGAGTTTTGTTTAGTGTTTACGTGTTCTCGAATATCCTATTTACAAAGCATGATGCTGATTTATGGTTTTCGGGTGGGGGGTGGGGGGGGGGATATACAGAAAGCTTGGCTCTCCTTGCAGATCTGGACTAGGGTTGGACGCGGGCTGGACGACTTAGTTCAGTTTAGTGGGAGTTCTCTTCCTTGGCCGCACTCGAAACAGTGAGCGGAAAAGTCCACGAAACAAATGACAAACTTACCTATCATCATACGGTTGCGTGTAAGGTTGCGTACGGTTGCGTTTAGGGTTGCGTAGTCATCATACGGTTGCCTAAAGGGTTGCGTTGTCATCATACTGTTGCGTGTAGGGCTGCGTAGGGTTTGGGTTAGGGGTGTTGGTTAGGGGTAGGGTTAGGGTTAGATGTGAAAATTGTCACGTAGGAGGTCGAAATAGTGGCCGACAAACTTATGCTTGTGGGAGTGGCGCCACTGAAAGTCTGCCAAATATGACGCCACTAGCGGGCGGCTGGTGCCCAATCGGTGGCGAATTATCCGTGTCAGTAGCATCCACCGTCCGTCGACTGTTTGAGTGTGTATGTGACTGTGCGCGATTATAGGGAACTACAGCGTCAAAATTGTCACATCTAACGCTAAACCTAACCCTACCCCTAACCCTTACGGCAACCCTAACGCTACCCCTACCCCTACCCTTAACCACGCAAATTTATCGGTCATTAAAGCATACAGATCGGCAAAACAAAACAAAAACAAAAAAAAAACCCAGATATCCCCGCAGTGTCGAAAAAAAAAAACCAGATCTGGGGGACACACCCAAGCATTGGCAGCCTGATGTCGACCTCACTGTCTTGTTTGATTCGTGACTTTTTCCGCTACTTGTTTTGAGTGCGGCCAAGGGAGAGAACTCCCACTAAACTGAACTAAGTCGTCCTCGTCCGGATTTGCAAGGAGAGCCGAAAGCTTTGCTACCCATCCAAAGCCACCTTTATAGACGACAGTAATTATTTATGTTGAGGTTTCTTGGATGAAATTTGTAGTTACAGTGTGTATGGTATGAATGGGACTGTTTTTTTTTTTTAAATTTAACCTCGATCATTATTAGTACCAGTCAAGTATTATTTTAACCATCTTTAACTTCAGCAAGCCTGAGTCAGATAGGGTTCAGAAAGTTAGTTAGTCTGTCCTCTTGAGCATAGGACAGAGGTCATAGCTCTCCATGTCTGGCGGTTTGTTGCCGCCTGATTGAGGTCTTGGATATTCATTAAGCCCATAGATGAGCCTTTCCTGATCATGGTTCTACGCAGTTTATTTTGGTCTTCCTTATTTTCTTTTCCCTTCCGGTGTCCATATGAGGGCTTGATGGGGGAGTCTTGACTTATCCATTCTGAGTGCAGCGCTTTCTTATAAATGTTGATACATTTTCTTGCTTGGTCTCTTATTTACATATTGGACCTGAAATCTGGGCTCTCCTGTAAACTACGGCCGGTAGACAACAGTTGACGGCCGGTTAGTTGGAGTTCTGTCCCCTGGCTGCAGTTCAATTACAGACTGGAGAAGGCACGAATCAAAAAACAAAGTGAGGTCGAAATGCCTGGCAGAACCCGCGCTGCGACTCAAGTTAGCGACCGCGTTCAATTACCGCTTCTTGCGACGCATTACGGAGTGGATTAGAGGGAAGGAAACAAGTGACATAATTACTGTGTGTTGCCGATAGACAGCGTGCAGTACCCTACTGTCATCATACGGTTAGGGGTAGGGTTTGGGTTTCGGGTTAGGGTTTGGGTTGCTATGTTTCTGCGGAGACGAGATGCGGCGACACTAACCGCAACGCTAACCCAAACCGTAACCGTATGATTGTAGCAGGGCAGTGCATGCTGTCTATCGCCAACACACAGTAATTGTGTCAATTGTTTCGTTCCCTCCTTTTCCACTCCGTAATTGCACTGTAGCCAAGGGACAGAACTCTGACTAACCGGCCGTCTACCAGCCGTAGTTGACAGGAGAGCCGAAATCTGTCCAGTGGAGATTCAATGTTCTTCTAAGACATTTGTTCTCAAAATTGTCTAATTCTTTATCAAGAGCCACTGTTGCTACTCTCAAATAAGTACTGGAATCACACAAGAGTTTAAGATCTTAAGTTTTATGTGTTTGCTGAGTGTCTTTTACTTCTAGATGTTTGAAAGTTTGGAAAACCCAATGCCAGTGTGATTCTAAATGATATTTCTTGTGCTGAATCCCCTATAGATGTCATCTTACTCCCTAGGTATGTAAAGCTGTTGACTTTTTCAAGAAATTCAGATATCAACACAATTTTTTTTTGTTACTCTGGTAGAATATATTACTGTAGCAGCAGTATGACCTGAGAATGAATTATTTTTCCGCTTCGGTGTGTGCCATTAAGAGGACAGGTGGTACATTGTATTATAGTTGACAGCTAGGCTGTCACATCTGCTCCTTTTGGCACGACACATCCCTATCTCAACAAACACCTAATTAGATTTTAGAAAATTGATGGAAATAAAAATTAGGGTAGAATATGTTAGTATAACAGCTGAATGACATTTTTTTTGTGGTCTGCTTCTGCATGTGCCCTTAAAAGGACAGTTGGTATGTTGTGTTGTGGTTTAAAACTAGGCTGTCATATCCACCCCCAGCAGTCTCCACTCTGAACATTGTTCCTTCCACCCGGTTCCCTCAGCCGTTACTGTTACCTACCTGTATACACTCTTCTGTTAGTGCACACATTTTTCTCTATGCCTCTGTGTAGGTAAATGTGACATAATTTTTGCTGGCCCTATGGCTGTCCTTACACTGCATGTTATAATAATGCTGAATAGCCACCACCCCCCTCCCCCAATAAAAAAAGCTGTTCTTTTTTTGTGTTTAAAAATGTTTAATAAAATATAAAAGTTGTGCTGTTTCTTCTTCTTAGATGCTTCTGTCAGAAAACTTATTTCAGCAGGCCGTTAGCTTTTATGAAAGCTATCATACAGTCCAAATCTTCCCGTGTACTATACAGTTTTGTCTTCATTGTAGTTGGAACAGGTCAGATTGCATCTCTGTTGGCAGCACACAGCTTTTTGATGGGTCTCAGAGCCCAGTTAAGGATTCTGTCAGCAAGAATTGAAAAGAAATCAAGCAAATGAAGCATTCTCTTAGAACAGTCGGTCTCAACTTTACTAGTGCCGTGTCCCTTTAATACTGTTCCTCATGCTGTGGCGACCCACACACATACAGTTATTTTAGTTACTACTTCATAACTTCAATGAATACATGTTTTCTGATGGTCTTAGGTGACCTCTGTGAAAGGGTCATTCGACCTAAAAAGGAAGTTGCGGCCCCCAGGTTAAGAACCGCTGTCTTAGAAGATAAACATTCAGAGAAATCTTTCCTACACAATAAATTAACTCATTGTGTCCCGAGGAGCATGTAATATGCTATTGGCTTTTCCCTGAATGTCTCAGCTATCACACCATGCATTAACTCTCCATTTTTTAGGTGATCAGCAATTATTTTAACACGAGGGTGGGGAATGCCTGGCTTGTATGCCACACACATATGTGTGTATTATATAAAGCAAGTGAAATCATGTGGCTTGCAAAGATAGCCACAATGAAATATATGAAAATAAAGCAGGGTGAACTTCAAGTTGATTTTATATGGCCTGCAGATGGTGTTAACAATATACAGATGGTCTCTGACAGAAAAAAAGTCCCCATCCCTGATTGGCTTCTTTGAAAATAATACACTCATTCATCTCTTTTGGTGAAGTATGTTGCTGCAAGTCACATGATGCAGATTTAGTCTGATTAGTTTTAGCAATCTGCCATGAAACAAGGACAGAACATGTTTTTCTCTTAAATTTTATTTTGTTTTTACTGTGGCACATAAAATATGATTCTGGAGAACTTTATGAAAATTGAGAGTTTTGAGGGGGATGTCAGAGGAAGAAGATGCTGAATGGTGTGCTAATACTATCAACACAGGAGACATATGGTCATATGCTAGAATGATCATATGTGCTGCCCAGCATTGAACATAATGCTATTTTCCTGTGTGGGCCTCATTTTAAGGGGGGGGGGGGTTGATAGGCCCACTACCCCCTAACAAACATGCCATAAAAGGTGACTAAGAATTTGTTGAAATCTGATTTGGTAGGCTGAAAAGCATAGATATCACAGCCCAGTTGAGCTGTAAACTACAACATAAACGTTGGAGGGTGAATGCAGAAGAATGATAAGAATGACATCCATGAGCTATTTCCCCACCTGCCTACAAATGTTACAGCCTGGGGCTTGAGTCAGTGTGTGTTTACACTACATTTGAATGAAATGAGCAGGTGCTCGCTGTCACTTGCTAGAAGGAAACCGAATAAAAATCATACTGTGGCAAATGATACAAGGGGGACAATAATTTTCACTGCCAGGGAGCATGAAGCAGACGTGATGAACTGCATGGGGTAATGCACCAGGACTACTGTTCAAGAACATTTACAGTTTTCCACTGCCATCCTAGAACACAGGAAAACGACTAGGAGCCTGGCCATCGTAGACAGTGTCAATGTTTTCTTCAAATTCTGAGTGCATCTGTCTAAGAAGCAAGGCACCAACAGTCTGCACATAAATAAGACAGATCTGTTTTACGCATGCAGTACTCTTCTTCTTTTTAGCATTCACCAACTGAAAACTCTGGCAGAAAGTTCTAGTTGTTTGTCTGCTTCTGGACTTTGATCTTGAGTTTTGCACACATATCCGTTTTACAGATCTGGCTTATTCATATGTAGACTGTTGGTTCCTCGCCTCTCAGGCAGACGCACCCCAACTTCAAAAGGAAACACTCCTACTTATTCACCTTCTAATGCTTGCTTTTTTTATTATCGGGGCAGTGGGTCCGATCATGGAGTCCCGGAACCCAAACAGGAAATGCAACACTCAAGTCCTAGCACAAGAAGACCCAAACTCCAGGAGTGGATAAACAGCCAGGACTTTTCGCTGGAGTTTACAGCCTGTGAACAAACGAACCAACTTTTTTTTCAAAGGGTCACAAATAGGTTCACAGGCTAGTCTTACCTTTGGCTCTTCCATACGTCCATCTTTCACACAGCAATTGTATGTTATGAAGAAAGCATGTAATTTTCATATAATAATATGAAAATCAAGAAAAATCTCAAAAAACATGGGGGTTAAATTGCATGTGCATACATACACACCCCCACCCACTCACTCTACACATGTACATACACACCTACATTTAGGCATAAATACACACACACGTGTTCGCGCACACATTCATGCACACAGTCAAGCACACTCCGGCACATACATATACACACATACAGAGATAGATACACAGACACACGCGTACACATACTCACACAGACACACACAGATTTAATATCCAAATATCAGTGTTATGGTTGGCACGTTAAGTGTTGTTGGACAAGGCACAATGGAGATCACTCTCCTCATCAGGCTGGCAGCGCTGTTTAGTTTTTATTACTATTAATATTTTAGTTGTAATCACACTGGGGGAGGGGTCAATATCAGTATAATATCAAAATTGCTTGAGCCCGAAAGAAAACTACCTTGCTCGTCCCAGGTTGAAAACCACTGACCTATCCAGTGTCAGTTGGTCTTTAAAAATATTTGTATTGCTTGCACCAAATGCCTTTTGTGTCAGTGGTGTGAAAAAAACCTGTGACTTCACTTTTACTGTGTGACTGACTTCTTTGCTTATTTTATTTCAGAATGAGTCTTCCCTGATCAGAGCTGTAGAAGAAAATGGGCCGCAGGCTTGATGTCCTGTATTTTGACACCACATATTACCCTGTGGCTGCTTTCAGCTGTGCTTTTTTCTTGTACTTGTACAGGTATACCATCCCCCTCATTGCTTGATATCATCATTATCATCATGTTAAAACGTAGTAAAGTAGAGGACCCTTTTTTCACACCTTCAGGTGTATTGGGCATATAGGGCTAGACCTATTTCTAAGGAAACACCCATAATTACGCCTTTTGTGGCAGGCTTGTAAGGGAGGCACTGGGTCTATACTTCCCCCACCCCTTTCCCCCCAAATAGGGAACCTAAACTGGAAATGCAACACCCAAGTCCTGGAATAAGAAGACCAAAAACGGAAAATGCAGCACTTGAGTTCTGGAACAAGAAAACCCAAAACAGGAAATGCAGCGCTCAATTCCTGGAACAAGAAGACCCAAATGGGAAATGCAAAAACACAACTCCTAGAACAAGAAGACCGAAACCCAAATGGGAAATGCAAAAACATGACTCCTAGAACAAGAAGACCGAAACCCAAATGGGAAATTCAAAAACGTAACTCCTAGAACAATAAGACAGAAACTCAGATGGGAAATGCAAAAACATAACTCCTGGAACGAGAAGACCTAAACTGGAACTTTACCTGATTCCCAGCTTACGCTGTAAAAAAAGGACCCTTTTCCACGCCTTAAGGCGTATAGGGCTAGACCTATATTTTTATAGACCATCGGCACAAGTGATGTAGTCAGTATCACGTCGGCCGCCTTCACTTTCCCGGGACTACACCCGGTGCCCACTCAAGGCTGGGTCGTCCTGGGAGCCAAAGTCATTTTTGAAAAAAGTCCGGCTCCGCCAGGGAGCGAACCCACGACCTTCCTATCCGCAGTGAGCGTCTAGCCGCTCGGCCACAGTGACTCCCAGCTTACGTTGGATACATGATAATTTTGGGATATTGTTTGGTAAGGGAAGGTTTTTGGTATTTATATTTTGGGAGAGGGAGGAGGATAATATATCTATTGCTGACAAGCATGTTGCAGAAGGTGACAGATTAAGAATTTGCTTTGACTGATGTTAATATATGTTAATGAGGAAAGATTGGAAGTGGTGGAAAATTTCGAATATCTAGGGTCACTGGTTACCAACAATGGTGACACAATGAAAGAAATTAAACGGCGACTATCAATTGCTCTTCAAAGACTAAAACAACTGAATAAATTATGGAATTGTACAGATAGAATTACAAAGGTCAGATTTTTAAGAGCATGCATCTTTCCCATTGCAACATACGCCTGTGAGACCTGGACACTTACTAAACAAGCGGAACAGCGCATAAATGCATTTGAATATAAATGTTACAGACAGGTTCTAAGAATATCTTGGGTAAAGAAAAGAACAAATGCATCCATACTTCAAGAGCTGAATATTGAAGAGGGTTGGCTAGTAAAGACAATAAAACAAAGAAAATTGAAATATTTTGGTCACTTGAAACGTCATGGAGGTCTAGAGAGAACAATAATGGAGGGGTATATGCCTGGGAAGAGAGGAAGAGGAAGGCCAAGGAGAAGATGGGTGCAGGATGTGGCAGATGATCTCCAGATGGGTGTATCAGACGCAGGACATCTTGCTCATGATAGGAAGGTTTTCCGGAGGGTTGTTATGGCAGCGAGGTTCCGCGAGGGACATGCTACTGAATGAATGAATGATGTCCTGGGCAGAAATGGCATAGATATCAAAACCTGGCTGTAAACCAGAAGTCAGTGTACCAGTTGCCCTTTTAAGAGTAAGTCCAGAAGAAGAGGATTGTCAGTAGGCTCGTCCTCAATGTCCAGCTGGAGACAGGATAGACAAACACAGAATGACACAACTATGTGTTAGAATCCTGTGAAGAAATAACCAGCTGATTTCTGTTGACCTGGTCTGCAGGCTTTGCAAGCCTGTCCATGGATTTGTTTGTTATTTCTCAACACTGCCTAAACATCAAATACAGAGGTTCTGCAGAGATTAAGAATGTATAGAAAAAATATTGAAGAGACAAGTTAAATATTTTCACCTGATTGATTGAATTTTGTTGTTGTTTGTTTTCTTGATGAATCTGAGAATATAATTCTTCTTCTGCATTTCTAACCCCCAGTGGAGCGTAGGCCTTCAACCAACTCACGCCACATTGTTCTATCCTTAGCTGTCGCATGCATCTCTCCCCATATCCTCCAAATCTTTTCAATTTCACTGTCCATCTCCCTTCTCCAAGTGTTTTTTTTTTTGGGAGCCGGGAAAATATTTACCTTGTATCCATTTTACAGCATTACTTCAATATCTTGAGTTAGTCTTTCCCTTTTTGTTTGTTCCATTTAATATTGATTTTTTTTTTTTAAATGGATAAAGAAGAAGACACTAGGTCAAACCTGTTATGTCCTTGCTGGCAGATGTGTTGACAACTTTGTCACAGAAATGATTTTTGTTTTAGAATTTATGTGAAGGGCATATATTACAGTTTAGACTTTTGCAGGCATGACATGGGATGTTAAACTGTGTTCATATCTGACACAGTAATCGTTATTTTTGTATCCAAACTAGGTATGTTAGCCCAAAAATATCCACAAAGCTATGTCCAAAGTACAGTCTACTTTCAGATATGGAGCAGGTCGACTGGAACAACAGGTGAGTTGTTTTTAATGTATGTGTGTTTTTTTTTTTTTAATATACAAAGCAAGATAAAGAGAATTAAATGATGTAAAGTAAGTTAGAACTAACACAGGAAGTAAGAAAGTGCACCCATTAACAGTGAAACACTGAAATGCAGAGAAAAGTTACAGACCTGTGAAAATTTAACAAGAAAAGGTTGTATTATATGAGGAACCTTTGTTGGTTTCTTCTTCAACATTTGTGCAGGTTGTTAAGAAGCAGTTAACATGCATTGTTAAGAAGCATACATTGATGTTTACTTCTGAAAGCCACAAGAATGGTCTTTTTCTAAATAGATGTCCACAAAAACCAAGCCTTGGTGCGTAGAAGATTGGAATGTGAAACTGTTTCACTCACCTCTCAGCCACAGAGCTGCACTGTCAGTGTCTTAAATTCATTGTTATAAAGTACAAACTAGCTTTATGCTACATCTGCTGTGTAAAACTTGAACAATGTTTCTGAGAGAGGAAGTAAAGTAAAGGACCCTTTTCCATGCCTTTCAGGTGTATTGGGTATATAGGGCTAAACCTATATTTTATAGACCACCTGCACAAGATAGGTGATGGGGTCAGCATCACGCTGGCCACCCTTACTTCCCAGAACTGCACCCGGTACCCACTCAAGGCTGGGTCGACCTGGGAGCCAAGGTCATTTTTTGGAAAAAGTCCGGCTTCGCTAAGGAGCAAACCCACAAATTTCCGATCCGCAGGCGAGCGTCTAGCCGCTACACCGCGACGACTCCCTTGAGAGAGGAAGTGATGCAGTAATTTCTTTTTGATTCCCCCCTTCGCCCCCTTTTTTAAAAACGGACATGGCCTATATTTTTAGTGCTCTGTTGCTGCTACAGCATGTTATTTGCTCAACATCAACGTGGCACTTTAATCTTGAAATTTTTTGACAGATTATCTGGAAATGTCCTTACACTTGCACTGGTCCATGGGCCACAAGTTGAAGAACGAACGAACTTTATTTTCAAAGGGTTACAAATTAGGCACGCAGACCTGAAGAACATGATTCTAGGCCATGGCTATTCAACTAAATATACTCAGGGGTAGGGGGGGTGCTAAATGTGGAGAGGCATGATCGCCCACATTGAATAACTGATAGCACAATGATTAATTAGTTCACTGGATTGGAAACAGATCTGTCTTTAAATAATGCACACACAAAGAATACATTGCACATTTTATTACCTGATAATTTTCACTGTTTCGCATCATATGATGAAGCACAAAATTAAATCCTTTTCACTAAATTACTAAATCACAGTCTCATTGTCAAGTTAGACTGCACAGCTCTGCACCAGAAATTCAGAATTATCCATGTGACTACCATGGTAACTTCTGATGTATCCTATAATCTTTTTGTTTACATAAAACAGAAGAGTTCTATTTTATTGACACAAACCTCAGCTACTTTTAGTAAACGCCTGTATAACGGATATGCTGCTTCTTTAACAGGTGGGGTAGGGATGGTAGTGGATCTGACAAGATACAGTGAAATATGCCAGGCAATAAATTGTGATGAGTATTGATTATGTCTGCATAATTTAAATTTTCAACAGGAAAAACATTGTTTGAAGAATATTTTTGTCACCTCCACAGAATCAACTCCACAGTACACTCAGTTATCGTAAGCTGTATGTGCGCCTACACCATGGTTTACGATGATGAAATCGCAGAAGACCCCATCTGGTAAGATTGTTTACATATTGATGTAAAGTAAAATGTACAGGTCACATGATTTTAGTTTGTTTTAGTTTTTTGTAAAATATAAATAAGTTTGAAAGTGGAACAACTCAAATATTTATTTAAAAACAACATTCATTAGCAGTTGTTTGCGCAGAATTGAAGGAATAAAAGGGGTAAATGATATGACAGAGTCACTAATGTGGAACTTTGGGAAAGAACAACAAATTCTAGTTAATCAAGAGGTGAGGAGAAGACACTGGCTTTAGGTAGGGAACACACTGAACAACTTGACATTAATGTAACTGGAAAGTTTTATCGATTGGAGAGAAGTTACTCCCTTTGTGGGTTCCAGAGCCCTATTGTAGCGAAAACAAGAATAGACCCGCTGCCTGCCCAAAAGCATGTTGTAAGAGAAGACTAATTGGGGTCTTCCTTTGAAGTTGGAGGGCATCTGCCTGAGAGGCAAATAACCAACGGTCTGCATACAAATGAGTCAGATCTGTAAAATGGATGCACACGCAACACTCAGGTTTTGAAACATAGAAGTGGATGAACAACCAGAACTTTTTGCTGGAGTTTGCAGCTGGTGAACGCAAATTTGAAGAACAACAACATGTTACAAATTTCTCATACCTTGGGCATGCAGTAGATGATGGTAAAAGTGACATTGAGTCAAAAATAGAATGGGAATGGCCAAAAATATTTTTCAACGTTATGCAGAAATTGCTTGCTTCTGCAGAGATAAACAAGATATTAGCAAAGAAAAATGTCAGATGTTATGTATGTTCAACTCTGCTGTTTGGTGCAGCAACCTGAACAATGAACAGGCAGGCAGAAGATCATATTGAGTGTCTGGAGGTGTGGATATACAGAAAGAATAGGTCGTATTTAATGGAAAAAAGCAATCAGATACAAGTTTCAGAAGAGAGTAAGAATGAAACAAGAGTTGCTGAATGAAATTTTTTAAATGCGTCAAGTGAAATATTTCAGCAGAAATAAAAGGGAACACTCTTCTTCTTTTTCGCGATCACCAGCTTTAAACCCTAGCAGTAAGTTCTGGTGTTCGTCCACCTCTGGACTTTAGTCTTGCTCCAGAACTTGAATTGCATGCACGTCTATTTTACATATCTGTCTTATGTAAATGAAGATTGTTGGTTACTTGTCTCTCAGACAGATGATGCACTCTGACTTCAAAGGAATCACCCCTGATTAGTGACCTGTTATGATATTGCTTGTTGGGGGAAAAGGGGGGGAGTGGACTATTGTGTTCCTCCCAAAATGGGGGCAACCCACACAGGGTGTGTTCATTGTCCAGCCTTTTTGTTTTTTGAAAATATTTTAGCCATACTTTCCTTTTTGAATGGGATGCAGATTGAACCATACATGACTAAACATCAAGACCTGAGCTCCCACTAATCAAGCCTGTCCACAGCTCTTCACAGTCTTCAAATAACAGGTTCCCTACTCGAGGCCTGGCTAACAAAGATATGATCTACATTGTCTTTTGAGGTCTGTGTGTGTAAAGCAGAATTCACACATGTAGCAAAACTGTTGTAGGTAGGCTGCATTAAATTTGAGTCAAAATTATTTTCTTATTATCGTTCACCTACTGTAAACTCAATGGAAAGTCCTGGTTTTTCGTCCACATCAAGTCTTTGGTCCTGTTTGGGGACTTGAGTTTTGCATCCATCACCGTTTTACAGGTCAGGCTTAATTGTGTGCAGGCTGTTGGCTTCTCACATCTCAAGCGGATGTAGTCTGACTTCAGATTAAACATTGATCCTATCCATACTGGCCAAGCCACCTTCTCTTCCCTGCCCCCCCCCCCTCCCCCCTTGCCCCATTTGGGGACCTTTTTGTAGGATGACATTGGAGAGGTCTCAACCAGTATGAGTCCTGTATGCCATGAAATGTGCTTTAACACTGGTGTATCCCAGCAAGGCACCTGATGATGATGCTGATAATCTGATTAATTCAAGTGTCAGATCTTTATTGTCTACCTTCTGTTGTGTTTGATTGTTTAAACACTAAAGTAAAGTGATGTCTTAATCAGTCAGGTGCCTTCTCCACAGTAAAGGTTGGCCGCAACGGAACTCGTGCATTTTCTACCATATTCTACATCTGATTATGGAATGTTTTCATTATTTTTCAGGCAAGACTCTCCACTGGTTAGAACAAGCTGTGCAATCGTTGCTGGTTATATGACTTCAGGTATGTTGACAAGTTATTAAAGTTAGAAGCGTATCATATACTGCAGGCGTGTCAAACTGTGGGTCACATTTATGTTGTCAGAGGGCCACACACAACAGATAACTTAAGTCATTTAATTAAAATTATTGAAAAACAGTTTTATTGTGAGCTGCAGGTGTGCATGCAAATTGCTACCTGTGGCCCACGGGCTGCATGTTTGACATGCCTGCTTCACAGGACAGTGCTAACCACTCTCAGCATTTGTTGACTGTTTATGGTTGTTTTTTTAGGCATGTCTATGTTTAGCAGTTTGTCAGTACTTTCAGAGTGCATGGCACTTTGTCATTACTTTCATTTGAAATATCTTTCTACTGTGACCATCGTGGAGTTCTGACCTGTAGATTCAGAAAATGGTGAGTGGCCTGTTGCCACATAATCGGTGGTGCCTTATGTGATTAAAATTAATTGTGTGTGCTGCTACTGATCTGTTTGTAACTGCTGATTCCTTCGCTAATGAACTGAATTTCTAATGTTGGACTGTTTGTGTTAGGAATTCTGATAGCTGCCTTATGCTTTTAATGTGTGTGTTTGCTAGTGGATATGCTGAAACTACAGTTTGTATCATTTTTTTCCAAAATGGAGTGTGACTTACATTCTTTGTGTCTTCTATTGACACAAGAGTGGAGCAACTATTGATGACCCGTTTTTTATGAAGCTGAAACTAAGATTACCAGATTAACGGATTTCATTCCTTTTCCTGTTGTGCCATTATGTTCACATAGGGCTTGCAGTCTTTTTCTCCATTTTGTTCTCTTCTGTGCAATCACTTTGATATCATGAATGGAATCCAGTCTAGCAGTTTTGTCTTCTTTCATTAACTTTCGCCTTAGAGTTTCTCTTGGATGTCCTTGTTTCCAAAATCTCTCTGTGTCCCATTTCATTGCCAGAAGCTGGCAAAAGAAGAAAATCTGCCTAGAAGGAAATTAGGAGAGCATGTCAGATGGGTTGCTGTCTAGACTGCACTTAAGAATTAGCAAAGCTGCCTACTAGAGAATGAAGCTGTCTTGTCTATCTACCTGCCTATTCTGTCTATCTACATATCTTTCTATCTGTCTGTCTATCTACCTATCTGTCTGTCAGTCTGATCTGCAGCATGTGCTTAAAAGATTTAAGGGAGTGGATAAACATCACTGCAACATGTTTTATCCCAAATGACTTAGTCTCTCTCTCTCTCTCTCTCTCTCTCTCTCTCTCTCTCTCTCTCTCTCTCTCTCTCTCTCTTTGATGCTGAGTGTTGCACAGACTTCATAACACCAGTGAAGATATCCATGGATTTTACAAAGAAAATTTCACTCCTAGACCCGAAAAAAACTCAGTAACACAATTGAACCCAAGGACTTCAGAGTGTGAAGCCGACAGCTTGCCCACTTTGGCACAGTCCCATTATAATGTGTGATTCTAATGAACACACATGTGGATCATTGACAGCACTGAGGTGTTTATCCACTGTTCTAAAATTATCCATGTTTGCTGTGTTGTGTAAGACTAAAGCACTTCTGTGGATGTCTGTAGTGAATGAATGTTATCCTGAACCAAAAACCACAATTTCCCCATGTGGGTTCCTGGTTCCCTAGTGCGGAGGAAAAACAATAGACCCCTTTCCCCCCACGCATGTCATAAGAGTGAACTAATTAGGGATGTTTCCTTCAAAGTCAGAGGTCATTTGCCAGAGAAGTGAGGAACCAACAGTCTGCATACAAATAAGCCAGATCTGTAAAACAGATGTGCACACAAGCTCAAACTCTGGAACAAGTCTGTAGTCCAGAAGTGGATGAACAACTAGAACTTTCTGCCAGAGTTTACATCCGAGGAACGTGAAAAAGAAGAAGAAAAAGCACAACCATTTCACCTGTTCTCTTTTTCTTTTTTTTTTTTTGGGTTTTGAAATTCTGTAATTTGAATTGTTTGTTTTGTTTCAGATGTAATAATTATGACAATTCATTACAAGCAGATTGGAGAAATGTTTTATGTACTACACCACGGAGCATCTATATATGCATACTATTATGTAATGGTGAGTTCCTGTGCAGTATTGTTCCTGTTGATGTTCTCGGTGCCAGACTGGTCCAGCTATTGGCCCTGTACTCTGAAGATTAGGGTTTTGTTATTAAGAGTTTGGGAAAAATGTAATATCTGTGTTGATTACACTATGCTTTATTGTAGGTGCTAGATGGTTCTGATTGCATGCTAGGATGGTTATTATTGGATAGTAGTTCTGATTGTATATGCTTGGTAGTTCTGACTGCATGATTAGATAGTTGTATTTGCATGATTGTATATATGCTGGATGGTTCTGAGTGTATATGCTGGGTGGTTCTGATTGTATATGCTGGATGGTTCTGATTGTATATGCTGGGTGGTTCTGATTGTATATGCTGGGTGGTTCTGATTGTATATGCTGGATGGTTCTGATTGTATATGCTGGATGGTTCTGATTGTATATGCTGGATGGTTCTGATTGTATATGCTGGGTGGTTCTGATTGTATATGCTGGATAGTTCTGATTGTATATGCTGGATGGTTCTGATTGTATATGCTGGATGGTTCTGATTGTATATGCTGGGTGGTTCTGATTGTATATGCTGGATGGTTCTGATTGTAAGATTGGATGGTTCTGACTGCATGAGAGGATGGTTATAATTAGATGGTTTTGATTGGGTATGCTGGTTAGTTCTGATTGCATAATTTGGTGATTCTGACTGCCTGATTGGATGGTTCTGATTACATGATTGAATGGCTGTGATTGTGTATGCTGGTTGATTCTGGTTAAATCATTTGATTGTTCTTATTATATATGCTAGATGGTTTTTGACTCTGTGATTGGATGGTTGTATCATCAGATGGTTTTTGACTCTGTGATTGGATAGTTGTATCATCAGATGGTTCTGCTTGTTGTAATTGAATTTGAATGATTAGATAGTTTTGATTGAATTGTTTTAATTGCACTTTTTGGATAATTCTGATTGTGTGACTGAAGGGCTTTTATATGTGCTGGGTGGTTCTGATTTGCATGATTGGGTGGTTCTGGTTTGCATGATTGGGTGGTTCTGGTTTGCATGATTGGGTGGTTCTGATTTGCATGATTGCGTGGTTCTGATTTGCATGATTGGGTGGTTCTGGTTTGCATGATTGGGTAGTTCTGATTCTGTATGCTGGATGGTTATAAATGTAAGTTTTACCTGTGAATAGATTGTAACTGGTGTTTCCTCATGTTCATTCACTTCCTCAGACTTATGGGGTTCTTCCATATTTTGCTAACTATCGACTTGTGGCAGAGTTTTCAACACCTTTTGTCAATCAGCGGTAAGTGGGTCTTTTGGTTATGTTGTAAAATAGTGTAGGCATCTATATGGCTTAGGCCTTACGAATGAGCTTTGTAATTCCATTGGGTTGGGTTCGATCCCAGCTGCTGGTGATTTGGCAGCAGACCGCCTTGTGTTGGTTTCAACAGTGATATGGAGAGTCGACCATTCAGCGGACAGTAAGAAATGTAAAATTGTCTAATGAAATCACAAACAGCACCCCCCAGTTGGGGTTGGTTCTGCAACGTCCTGTAAAAAAAAAAAACAGGCAACTGAGTGTCTGTTTTACAGCATCTAGTTGTGACAGGGTTAACAGATAGACTTGTCTATGGCAACTAGTTTTAATCCCCATCAATTTTTTAAAATTTACCCTGCCTCTCAAACCACCTCACCTCTCTAACCCAACCTGTAATTGGATACCATATTTTGCTCTGGGAAGTAAAGGCGAGCGGTATGATATTATCATACCAGTTGAATGCTGATTAATCCCCCCACCCACCCACCAACCAGTGTGCCTTAGGGAATCTTCTTTTTTATTCACCGGCTGTGAGCTCCAGCTGAGAGTCCTGGTTTGTCCATTTAGACTTAAGCTTTGTACCAGGTCCTGATTTGGGTGTACATCCGTTTTACTGGCTTATTTATGGCTGTGGGTCTGTTATAGTTTTCCCCACAATGGGCCCTAGAACCCGCACGGGGACCTTAGGGAATGAAACTTGTAAAACCATGTTGAAAACCATTACTGGGCCATAATGCCACCATGGATGTATAAGTAAAATGTGTTGTTTTTTTTTTTACCCCTTCTGGGTAAATGTTGATAAGTATGGTTAACCATTTCTTTTTCTTCTTAGCGTTCACCATTTATAAACTTTGGCTGAAATTCTGGTTGTTTATCCACTTCTGGGCCTTAGTCTTGCTCCAGAACTCCAGAAGTTTAGCATAATCGTCCATTTTACAGATCTGGCTTATCTGTATGCAGACTGTTGGTTCCTCTCAAGCAGATGTACTCAGACTTTGAAAGAAAAAAAAACATAATTAGTCGCCTTGTGGGGGGGGGGGGGGGGGCCTTTTTTGTTTTTTCCCCCAAATTGGGGCACCTGAATCCACACAAGAAGCTATCCATTTCTCATTGTCATTTCTTTCTTCTTCTTTTGTCAATTTATGCTTAAGCCACTAGGTGTCGCAGTTCATCAACACTCAGTAGCTTGATATGCCTTGATGTTATTGTCTCAAGTTGTCAGTGACTCCTTCAATCCATCTTCTTCTGTCTTCCCCTGTCTCTTGATGTTTCGATTTTCATGTTATACGCTCTTGCTGCTCGCCTAGTTGGTTTCATTCTAATTAGATGGCCAAACCATTTCATTATATCTGTTTCTCAATAAATTTACCGATGGGTGTTGCTCTAACAGTTCTTGTAATCACATTGTTTCTCACTCGATCTCGTCTGTCATTTGATATTTGCTTTTAAAATGAGGTCACTTATGCCTTGCCCATCTGTTTAAGCTTTCCACTGATGTCTTCTGTCTTCCTCTCCTACTCTTGCCAAGTATTTTCCTACATTAGGTGATTTCCCTGTACCTCCCTTTTCTGTTAATATTTCCATTAAATTAGGTTTTGTTCATTATGGTTTTGAGTAATTAATTGTGACACTTGCAGCTGTCAGTCATTTGTTTTATGTTCTGTCCATGATATTCTCAATAACCTTTCTCTCTAGCATCACACTCCTGTACCTCCAGTAAAGTATACATAAACTGATTTTTCACTTCTAATTTCAGGTGGTTCCTTTCACAGCTGGGATATGAAAAAACCAATTTTGTATTTGTTTCAAACGGTGTGGCAATGGCAGTAACATTCTTCGTGGTGCGCATTGCAGTGATGCCCTCCTACTGGCACAGAGTATACAAAGTCTACAACACGCCTGCTTTTAATCGACTGGGATACATCCAGCTTTGCTTGATTATTCCCTGCCTCATTTTGGACATTATTAATATTTACTGGTTTTACAAAATTTGTATTGGGGCTTACAAAATATGTTGTCTGTTTTTTGAGAAGGAAAGGCTCGAGGGTAAATCTCAACCTGGGTTTAAATCTTCTTCACCTAATGACACAATTTCAAAAACATCATTAGTCCCAAATCACTCTGAATGTCATAAACATATTGATTAATATATTTTTGTTTTCTTCTTTTCTTTCAAGATTTTTATTTTACATGTAACATCTTCAGCAGACTAACACACATACTGGGCAAAACCAATAGTGAATTGTCTATTGTTGATTAAATAACGACTATTTTTTGTTCTCCTTAAGTGTTGTGGGTCTTCTTCTTGACAGTATTGTGTAATATTCGGTAGAAATCCATTTGTTTTGAGTTGTTCATTCTTGTACAACTTTGAGAGTTGGGGAACTGGTGATCATAGTTACCTCCCTTCAGGCAAGCACCACACTCAGTCCTAGCATGCAAATTTTCCAAGACCATGAGTGGAAAATATAGGTGCTGACTATCCTCCATCATGGGGAATTCATGTCTCTCTTTTGTTGTTGTTGTGAGTCCCTGGTCATGAACTACACTGATAGCATAAGATATGACAGCTTGGCATGAGTTGATTGAGGGCCTGTGAACCATTGGGAGTTGAGGGGCAGGAGAAGCAGAGTCCCTGGTCAAGCCTGCCTTCATTGGTCAGACCAGTGTCTGCTGTGCTTAAGATTCCTGTAGTGAAGAGAAGTCATACACGAACCCTGACACATATTATCCTACTATGTGTTAAATAGAATACTCTTCCCTTGTTATTGGGGTTTTTGTTGTTGTTGTTGATAAAGGCTGCTGCAGAAACGTCCTATTGTTCCTGTTTATGTGGTTTCCCTTCATTAAGCATTTTAGTCACAGTTCAGTAGATTAATTTCTTGATACTAGCTTAACTCCAGCCAACCCCGTTTTTCAACCACATGTCTCTCCATGCTGCTGCATTTGCATTTGGCTTCGGAGACATTTTTACTTATCTTTCATCTGTTTCCTGTTTTTGAGTTCCTTTTACAGAATTTTCTTTCTGATCTGTTTCTTCCCTAGCTGTGATTTTTTTTTTTTTATGCTGGTGTGTGCAATAAATGCTTGTGTCTTGAGTACTGCTTGCTGTATTGTTGTGTTAAGAAATTTGGATATGTGTATCCCTTGCTGTGTTTTGGAATATTATACGTGAGGACTCGGTCTCTTGTACTACTGTCTGAAAAACCACAAAAAATTCTTTTTATTACCTGTCCACCATAGTAATCAGACTCTGGTAAATCAGTCAGTGTGAAATGTGCTCACTAACCTATAAGCCACAGTGCCACACATTCTTGCTATGTTACATTTTATATTCAAACCTTCTGCCTCTAGAGTTGCTTTTCTCTGTTCTGGTTTTTTTTTTTTTTTTTTCTAGTATTGTATTACTGCATTGTTCAGTTCACCATTGTGTTTAATGTTGGTAGTCTGTATGATTCAAGGAAGGAGATGTTGCGTATCACTCAGTTATGTTACTTGACTTCATACACATATCATGGCCACGTTTGTTTTAAATTGTATTCACTATATTAGGTTTATTAACATATTAGTGGAGGTCATGGGCAAAAACAAGAGCTCACAGAAGCCAGCTTCAGGCCTCAGAAATGAAGTATCTAAGAAAGGTGGTCCAAGTGACAAGGAGGGACATAGTTCACAATCAGACAGCATGTCATGACTTTCAAACCCAGGCACTACAAACTCGAGTGGACCAGTCAGACATACGATGGTTTTGACCGGTATGCAGCATGGGAGGGAATTAGCCACCATGGGGGGGGGGGGGGAGAGGGCAAGAACCAGGAAACCAAACCACTAGGATGACCCCGAGTTCACTGGGAAGATAACATCTGACAGTTCTGACTGCCAGATGACTGGAATGGAACAAAGCCAAAGGACAACTGCTGATAGAGAAAATCTGGCGATCTCTTTGGGAAACTTGTACACTCGAAAGTAGAACAGGAGTGACAAAGTAAATATATTAAGTTTATCTTTATAACCACAGGACTGATTCCATGTCAGTCTTTCTCATTATGTTATTGCCTTACTTGCTGCATTCTGCATTGGGGATAATAATCTTTTTAACAATATAAGGAAACTGTAAGAGAGATACATCCTGTAATGAATGGAAACTACACATTCTTTTCCTTCGCGTTCACCGGTGGTAAACTCCAGCAAAAAGTTCAGGATGTTCGTCCACTTGTAGACTTTAGTCTTGTTGCAGAACTTTTGAAGTTCGGGACCCGATTCTGGGGAATTCGATAAAATAGACACACCCCCCCCCCCCCCCCCCCCCCCCCCCAAAGCATGTTGTAAGAGTCGACTAATTCTGGACTTCCTTCGAAGTTGGAATGCATCTGCCTGAGCGGCAAGAAACAACCAACAGCACACAAATAAGACCACAAAACTGACGTTCACGCAAAACTCAGGCCCTGGTACAAAGTCCAAATAGACAAACAAACAGGACTTACTGCCGGAGCTTACAGCCGGTGAACAAAGAAGAAGAACTGTGTTTGCACAAACTGGTGTAGACTGTACAGTCTTCGTGTATTGTAAGTCATGGAACAGTAAGTGAACATGAACTGTTTTTTATGTGTCAGTGCCCCTTCGGGCATATGTTGGTAGACTTTTTTGTGTTTTGTACATACGAGTTGATGCTTCTTCTTTTATAGTGCTTTTTCTGCCTTTCAGCATCTGGTTTTGAAGAGGCATCAGGTGCAAGCCGTGATATGTTCTTCTTCTTCCTTTCTTTTGTTGTCTCACTGATACCAGGTTGTAGCTGATTGTCGTGGCCTTGGTAAATGCTATAGATATACTGGTAGTTACGGCATCGGCTATTCCATGTATCCATCACTTGCATTGCGCTCATATTATTTAAAAAGACTAATGATGTTAATAATACTTGGATGGCGAATTTTATTAATTACATGCTGACAATTTTAGAGATTTTTTAGCCAATTAAATACATAGTTTCAAACTACTTTCCCCGCGCAGCATCTGGGGTCCCATTGTGGTGGTGGGAAAGGGAAAGACCCACACCTTCCCTGACAAGTATTTTGTAAAAGGTCACTAACTTGGGGTGTTTCCTTCGAAGTCAGGGTGCATTTGCCTGAGAGATGAGTAACCAACACTTTGCATAAAATATGCCAGATCTGTAAAATGGATGTGCAGGCAAAACTCAAATTCTGGTAAAAGATTAAAGTCCAGAAGTGGATGAACAACCATAACTTTTTTACTAAAGTTTACAGTTGGTGAACATGCAGAAGAAAAATAAAATAGCTTCACTCAAAGAATTTATGTTGCAGTTGTGTGTGTGTGTGTGAGATAATGTTTTGATTTGAATCTCAGTAATTGTTGGCACATGTGCTCATTAACTGAGCATCCTTTCCTGTGAGAAGCTAGGCATACCAGAAAACATTAAACTCCACCAGTTCTTATTTCTGCTGGATTGTTTTTGTTTTAGTGTAAATCATTCTCACATCTTCTTCTTTGTCCTTCACCATTCTGAGGCTTGCAGTCAGCTCATGTCAAGTTTTTTATTGCGGTCAGCTCACTCTTTGTCCCCCTTATCTTTTTCAAATCAGTCTAATTTTTCTCACTGTATTTTTTTTCCTTTGGCTATGTGGATTTCACTGCAAGACATTCTTGTTATATTATTGAGACTTGTCTATAATTGATGGTTTTTGTGGCTACAGTTTTGTTGTTATTATTTTTTATGGAAGAGGTAACCAACCCCAATCTCAACCCTAACTTTACTTGCTTCTTGCAGTGTGTCTGGTAAGGTGCAGAATTAATATTCTTTGCTTACCTCAAAGACACATAGACAACTAAAAGAGTGTTAAAAAACTTAACATTATGTGAAAGGAGTTAAACAGGACTTTTGGGACTGCGTGGGTTAATGAGTCATTTCTGGAGAACTGACAAGAATAAGGCAAAGTGGTATGGCCTGATAGGATAAATAATTAGAACTCTTGTTTAACATGATGATGATGATACTGAATATAGTGTTACTATCAGTGCTCATGTTTGACTTTATTTTGAAAAAAGCGTTTGTGTATTGAAAAATTACAAGAAAAAAAGTAAAATGCTTTGGTTTCCTTATCTGCTGCTGTTGTGTCAAGAGCAAATCCTTTCTAGCAATTTAAGTCGAGCATTACAACTTATTGTTATTAAGTTTTCTTCTCTTGTATCAAAGTGACCAGAAAAAAAAGTACACAGAGCATTAATAGCTAGGATATATCTTTTTCTTCTCTCTTGTTGAAACAGAGGGTCACAAATTCCAAATAATGTCTTGGATCTTGTGCTTTTTGGCAGTTTTAGTCAGATCCAGTAGAACTTATTGTTCTTTGTATTTTCTCTTGCTTATGTCAAATGGAATCTGACATAAGAGAGTGTATACTGAAGTAATTTACTGTTGTCAAGTCTACATTAAATCTTTTATTGTGATTATTTGAAAAAGTTAGCTGTTCACTGTCTGTATTACACTCAATTATACACTTTTTCTAAGTGTAGTTTCCAAATGTGGTATGCAAATTTCATAATGGGATTTTCCATTATAAACTTCTAGTAGTTTTTTGTTTTTAATGTAATATTTTTTTTTTTTTTCTTTTTTAAATCTGCCACATTAATGCAAAGACAGCTGTTTTTGTTCCTGTATCATCATGCAGTAAATGACTATTTATCCAACCTGTTTTTTGTTCCTTGTTTTTATTGTATGTTATTTGTGCCTGCTTAAGTGGGAAAATACTATAAACATTAAATTAGAAAATTCCGAACATTATATCCACACCAGCTACTATGGGATGAGACAAACAAATAGTGCCATGGTGATTCAACAGAAGACTCGTATGCATACATTTATTTCAGTTTACAACTTCTTCTTTTTCGTCTTCTTCACGCTCACCAGCTGTAAACTCTGGCAGAAAGTTCTGTTTGTTCATCCACTTCTGGATTGCAGTCCTTTTCCGGAACCTAAGTGTTGCATGTGCATCCGTTTTACAGATCTGACTCATTTGTATACAGACTGCTGGTTCCTTGCCTCCTGTAAAGGATCTGCAACTAACCTTAACAACAAATGTAGTGGTGGGAAAACAAAAGCAGTGAAGCAGAGAAACTGTTAAATATACGTCATATT